ATGAGAAAATCTTTAATTAAAAAATCTTAATATTTATTTAAAAACCTGTTATTTTGTGTATGAAAGCCTGTAAGATATGCATACGTTATCAAAAATTATAATATAATTACTCTCATAGATATTTTTGTTGTTACAAGCTGGGTGGATTCCACCGAGCCCATAATGGGAGAGTTAAAATTATCTATAGAATATTTTGTATATTAATAACTATAAGTGAGGTATAAATTCTTGATTAGTTTTAACTCTTGTTGACAAAAAAAAAAGTTTAGCACTATTCAATATTTTATACTGCTAATGTAGGGCATATGGTGAAGTTTAATGTTGCACATGTATATTTCTTCATAAAAAGTTCTTTAAAAATAATTTTAAAAGCCTTGAGAAAGTATTGAAAGAAGTCCTAAGTTTTAGTTTAACAAGTTGGAATGAACACAGTAAAAAATTCCAAGTGTGTTATCAATTTTATTTTTTATATTTTAATTTTTTGAGGAAGTGAAAATTTAGATAGTATAGTAACTAGTAACCATACCCATGACTTTGCTTGTCATTAGAGCTGGGTGATCAGTGGTTATTTGCTAATTGATAGCCCCTTGGTCCAGGGTCTTTTGTACATGCAACAATGTTGTACAGAGTTGCATTCAAAATTTAATTGAACAAATGTATTATCAATGTATTTCAATTAAACTAGCATCAAAGTAGTTTATAATTCAAATAGTTATATTACCTCAATTTTCTTAATTTCAAAAGAAAATATAAAAAAATACAACTCAGTTTTCACTTTGTAATGTGACATGCATGTGCTCTCAATTCCCCCATTTTAGTTTGTATAACTTTAACATTACACCTTTCAATTTGACCAACCTCATAACCACCAAAAAAAAAATTAAAATAAACCTAAATTAAATTTTTTTTTTTTTTCTAGAATGACTTCAGATTGTAACATGAAACTACATTCGTTTATCCAAAGTAGCTCTAAGTTCGTAACATTATACATCTATTTATAATTACATTTTATTGTTTTATTGCCCTTTGAACCTTTTGTTACCCAGATGTTTTCAGTGGTGTTCCTTTTCCCCTGATGACCTGGTCTGATGTTATGACTTCTGCCCTCATTATCTTTGTTTTTTTTCCTCTTTCACGACCTTGCCCTTTATTCCATTTCCTTGTCCACATCAGTCTCCTTCCTATCTGTCTATTCCAGCCCTTTTTTTTCTTGTCTTCCCACTCCTAGAATTCTCATTTGTCACTCTTCTTTCCAGTGTCTTTCATACATGTACATTTGTGTGGGTACCTTTCTCTTTTCCTGCTGTTCATCTAACTTTCTGCTAACAGTAATTTTCCATTTCTCCATTGTAGTTTCTTTTCTCGCTTCTCTTCTCCTTGCTTTTCTTCCCCTTTTCTATTCTATTTTCTCTGATCTCATCTGTGGTCTTTTTTTCCACCTGGTCTGTGGTTGGCCATGGTTGATGTATCAGACACCTTCGTACACATCTCTTGGACCATCCCTCATTTGTTTTCTCTGTCCTGTCCATCTTTTTTGCATCTTCCCATTCCTTGCTCTTCTTTTTGATTCAGTATCGGCTCCTCTTTATTGATATTGTGAGGGCTTTTGCTTGCTGTATTCAAGATGTGGGGCTAGTGTCCCTTTTCTTTGACTAATTATATCTGTTGGCCCATTCTCAGGTATTTCCTCTTCTCCTACCTCCCTTCTTTTATGGTAGCTACTCAATTGAGAGGGGGGGGGACTAATCTTTGGGTCTAAGTCCTTTCTCACACCCACACAGTGTTGAGTGCTTTTAGGCATTTTCTTCTTCATTTGTTTCAACTGACTTCTTCATCTGTGAACTGTTGCATATCTGATCACCAGGTTTTACTCTTCTCATTCTCTCTCTGTATGAGAGATTTTGTTTTTGGGGACTCTGGCTTCCCTAAAACTTCTCATTCGTTTTGGGCATGCCCTCATATATCTCCTATGGTGAACCCAAGGTTTTCTATCTTAGTGTCCTTTGCCCGCTTTTATGATCTTTTTCAAGGAATTGTCACAGTGACTGGACCCTGCTCATACTACTTCCTGCATTCTCTTACTTCCTTTCAAACCAGATCTCTCCCTTCTTCAATGCTCCTCTCTCTAATTGAGGTACATTTTTCAATGAGGACAGGACTTCTGACATTTGGACACTGGCCATGAGTTCAGTCCACATCAGTGTGCTCAACCTTCTTGCTCTTCATCAGGTAGGTTCCCATTCTTGCCCATACTGATGGTTTACTCAGCCATGTTCCATTCAGCCTAGTACGTATTTTTTTTACTACTCCAACTGTCCTTGTGGCCCCTTTCCAAGCATGAACCATACACTTCTGAGCTTGTTCACATCCTTTGCTGGAAGTTTCTATCTTGGTAGCAGACTGCCTCTTTTGGCCAGCCTGTATTCTATCAACAGAATAGTCCCTACACCTCTAGATCTTCCATGGTTTTACCATTGGTTGTACACATCCGTCTTGGACGGTTTTGCCACTCTTCTCAACTCCAGGCTTCCTCTCGTATGATCCTTTATTTCTTATCCTTAGGCTCTGGCTGTTAATTTCACAGCCAGCCCCAGTCTTATTTCTTTCTCTATACCTACTTCCCTATTTATCTTCTCCTTCTGGGCCTCAGATTTATACACTACTCTCCTTCTGGTGTTGAGCCCG